GACCTAACCTCTCTAATCTCAGAATTTTCTGGCCTAACTCTGAAAATAATTTGAGCCTTAATTAAAATTTTAAAAGCATATTATATGCAAAAGAAAGAAATTAAACATATGAAGCACAAGTGTCAAAAAGTACATATATATATGTATATATATATATATATATATATACACACATATATAATCACATAAGCAAAGATTTTTTTTCCTTCAAATTATTATACCAGAGATGAAGAAAAGCATAACCTTTTGGGACAGTACATTTATTTGTCATAATGCTTGAACGGAAAGAATGGGCACTTCCAAACATTACTGGTGATAGTGAGAATTAGCGCTAGCTCTTTAGAGAGCAATTCAACAACATATCCATGCACACTTTTGTTCCAGGATTTCCACTTAACGGATAATTTAAAGAAATAATTGAGCAAATGTACAAAGATAAATATTGAAGGTATTCCTTGCAGTAGTGTCTATAGCTGTAAAAGAATGGGAACTATATGTACGTGCAATGGAATGCTGAGTAAATAAAAGGCTATTCTTACAAATTAAAATTTACAATTATGAAAAAAGAATAAGATAACTCTATGCTTACTAATAGGAAAAAGTATCCCAAATAATTGAGAGAGTATACAAGGGTAGTTTACAAAAATAATATACACCATAAAATAAAATTCCATCACCAAAAAGCTAACAGTTATTACCTCTGGGTGGCATGACTTTAAATGAGTTTTACAATCTCATCATGAATTTCTCTTTGGTTCAAAAATTTCAATGTATATATTATTTTCATAGGAATAAACAGCTTTTCTCAAAAGGCATAGAAAAGAATGGGGAGGGGAAAAGAATTGGACGCTCACAACCTATAGTCCACTTCCTGGAATTTAGTCTAAGGGCATCATCTGCACAATCGTGTGAACTGGGAAAATCACCATGGCAGTATCCATATTTAAAATTAATAAACACAAAGTTGCCACTTAAATAAGTGTAGTGGAGTTGGATATTATAAATGTGGAAACATATGAGGCCGGGGATTTAGCTCAGTGGCTCGGTGGCCTGCCTTGCAAGTGTAAGGACCCGAGTTCAATCCCCGGTACCAAAAAAAAAAAATGTGGAAACATATGAACTTGAAATATCTCACAGTATATTGGTAAGTGAAACAAAGGTAATTAGACAATAGTTTTACACACATTTTGCATTTTTCATACACATGTATATATACATATACATACATATATGTGATAGAAAAGTCCAAAAAGATAAACGCCAAAATGAATACTGCAGTAACTAGTAACTCTTACTGTCGTTTTCTAGCAAACATTTCTATTACAAACAAGTATTATTTATACAAATTTTTTCTTTGAACTTTTAAAAGCATTCCTTGTAGATTTTTCAGGTTCTAAAATACTGGGGCAATGGTTACAATGACATTAATCTGTGAAAGACAAAAGGCTGAGAATCTCAACCCCTTTATCCAGCACTACATTGACCACCAGGACAGCCCCGGAGCCCCTACACTTCCCGTTCACCATGCCATGAAGGCCCAAAGGCAGCACTAATACTGACCCAGCTCGGGAGACCTAAGGTGCCTATTCTGATGCTGGGTCCGGGGATGTGCGGAGTTCTAAAACATACTGGCTCAGATTTCAGGCTAAGCATGACAAGTCCGTCTGGCACAACCTAACAAAAGAATTTACCCAGAATGAGCAATTTACACATTTCATTTCCCAGGGTGGGGTGAATTACAGAAGCAGTACTCAGGAGGGTTAAGCTCTTTCCTACCATTCTGCCATGTGCTTCTGAATCATGCCTTAGCAGCAGTTCTCACAGCATTTACGTACCCTTGTATTAAACCAAAACTCACTTTTTAAAATGTGAATAAGAAGAGAAGTGAGAAAGAGCGGACTTTAACTGAGTAACACTATTTTCAGATTTTCAGGTGAACTGGGAAATGCCTCACCTCCCTCCCTCCCTCTCCCCTTCCCTCCCTCTGAAGAACATTAAGGCTGATAACAATAGTTTTTCTCTCCTGGGTAGTGTAGATGACATATTTTTCCTGCAGCTTGTCTTCCTGTAATGTGCAGGAATTCCTGCACTTTCTGGGTGCCCTTCCTGTTAACTTACATTTCAGTTTCCTCAAAAGGCATACTACTGCTTTAATATTTGAAAAATGTCAGCTCAACCCCAGACAGCTAATATAAACAAGCCCGAAAAGCATACCATCTAAAGTTACAACTGGGGAAAACAAAATTTCTTTTAAGAAATTCTTTCTGGGAATCTCACTGTTGGGAAGGCTGGAAAGAAGGAACCCAGTCCTTGCAGGTCCCGAGCAGTCTGTAATTCTTTGCTTCTGCTGTGCCTGAAATTAGAGGTCTGTAAAACCGAATTATAGTGATCTAGAAAGTCCGTAAAGGTCCTTGAATTGAACATGCTGTTAAACTCCTCGATACTATGAGGTTGTATCCACCTTTCACTTTTTCCTCCCATTTCACTTGGCTAAAGTATGAAACAGAAGTTTGCTACTGCAAACACTGTTTTAGCCATTTGAGGACAGCATAGGTGAATTAGGCCAATTCCACATTTAAAGTCCAGGCCAAGGCTCCTTTGCCATTTCTAAAATAATCACCCTCTTCTTTGTACCAAACATTTTCTTGTTGGAGGAGCATCCCATGTTCATACCCCATGTCATCTGAGTACACGGGAAAGGCTGGAAGGACCACCGGAGCTGGTCCATTGAAGGCACGCTCACAGCAGCAGGCCGCCACAAGGCTATCTCCATCAGCTTCCAAATTCAAAAGCTTACTCTTTTCAGAGAGTCACACCAAAGCATGCAAAAAGGAATGGAATTTCCTATGGACCCTAAGGTACAAAGGGAAGATCACAGTACGCACTCCTTTCATCAAACTTCCTATCCCCCAAACAGAAGGAGAACTTTCATCTCTAAACTTTAATAGCACTGTTTTTCTTCAATACCTGTCCTATCACCCTGTATTACAATGGTTTCCTCGTGTGTTTGCTTTCACTAACCAGGTGGTTGAGTTCCCTGAAGGAAAAGACCTCATTTTAAATATTTTGTGTGCTCCAAATCCTGTGCATATACACATGGGATACAAGTGCATA